TGCCGCAGGCGGTGAGGTTTTGGACGGTGCCGGGCTCCAGCAGGTGGGAGTCCAGCAGAAGGTACCAGCCATTGGGGTACACGGGGGGCAGGTCGCCCTTCTTTCGCCTCTTCCGCACTAGGTTGGCAGTGTATGCCTTGCCTCGGCCCCTTTCAGGAATGTAGCCCACCTCCTCGGGGGTCCGGAGCAACTCCAGTGGCCGGGATAGCTCCCAACATGTCCATAGTCCCAGAGCTAGCAGAATAAGGAGGAGGAAGGACCCGAGGCTACGGGCGGAAGGGTCCGGGACAGAGGGGGGCAGGAGACGGGCGCTGAGGAAGCCACCGCCAGCATTGGCCAACAGCACAGCGCCCAACACACACAACAGAGACAGCACGGGCCGCGGCACTGACTTCATCCTACCGTTACCTGCCAGCCACTAAATGCGCCCCGCCCTCCGCCGCCCTCTTATCAGGAGCTTCCATAGTAACCGCGGACTCTCCCCGCCCACTATGCCTCACCTGTACCCGACGACACGCCCACATCTAACTGTACACGGGCAACACGACTGCATGCCTGTACTGACACCCCTCATTGTGCACTGACACCCCACTGCCTGTACTGACACCTCTCACTGTACACTGACATCCCACTGCCTGTACTGACACCTCTCACTGTACACTGACACCCCACTGCCTTTAACCACTTGCTGACTGGGGTGTTTACACCCCCTTCCTGTCCAGGCCATTTTTTATTTTATTTTTTAACAAAAAAAGTACAGAATATTTTAAAAAAAATGGTTTTCCCTTTATTATTTTAGAAAACAATTATTTTTACACAATTTTTTGGTAAAATATAAAAGGCGGGGTCACGTCGGGTAAATAGACACCAACATGTCAAGCCTTAAAATTGCACGCCTGTGAAATTGCAAAAAAACACCATAGCCAAAATTTGCCATAGGCGACGCTTTAAAAGATTTTACCGCTCATCAGTTTAGTGTTATCAGTGATTGATGGCCCTAGAATTATTGCTCTCATTGCGATGTTCGCGGTGATATGTAACACGTGCAGCATAATTGGAGCAATCGCCGTTTTTGCGTGTAGGCGCATGTAACGCATTTCTGCGCATCTATGTGGGGGTGAGGGACTTTTAAAAAAAATTGTGTTTTTTTTCATGTTTTGTGTGTGTAAATCTGTATTTATTTTTTGAGCATTTTTTTTTTACTTTTTTTTTTTTTT